TATGTTATGGGCCGGAAGGCAATGTGTTATGGGCCGGAAGGCAATACGCGATGGGCCGGAAGGCAATATGTTTTGGACCGGAAGGTTGTGGCCTGGAAGAGCGTATATGTGGTTGGTATTTTGGGGGTATCTCACTAAGCTTTCGGGCTTACAGTTGTGGTTTAATGTTTTTCGGGTTCTTCAGGAGACTGTGGCAAGGCGAAGGCGCGATCGTACCGCTCCTCATGATTTTGTAGCAATGTGATTCTGGGAATACTCTACATGATTTGTATCGAAAACCTTTTTGTAAACAATTTAATGAAAATCGGGTGGCTTTTGAAAAATTTCAATTGGTTGTATTTTTCGGTTGTTACAGTAAGGCCGGACGGAGTGAGGATGAGGGAAAGGTGAAGGAACCGATCCCGCACCTGTGCACACCGCACCGTGGGTGCGGGAAGCAACCGGGGGGAGAGAGTCCCGCTCTCTCTGTCTCTTCCAACCATTGGCTGATGCATTTTTTTTCTTTTTTACTCAAACGGCTATATAGCCGTTAACATATATATATATATATATATATATATATATATATATATATATATATATATATATAATATATATATATATATATATATATATGTATGTATATATATATATATATATATATATATATATATATATTTATTTATTTATTTATTTATTTATTTTTCCTTCCCTTTTCTTAATCTATAAATACTTAAACATTTTATCATTTTTTAAACCATAATCTATATTTCTTTATATTTCTCTCTAAAAAATATTACTCAAAATGTCATCATCTTCATCATCCGATTCGACGGCAGTAGAGGAGGTTAAGTTTATCGGTTCCGTCATGGCGAAAATGGTTGCATACTATCAAAACCGACTTGGTGAAATATCATGTGCACGACCTAACCTAAGAAAGCCGCCTTTACGTAGAAATCACGAAGTCGGACACGATCATCTTATAGAAGATTATTTTGCAGATGACGCCGTTTACGCTGTAAAGTTTCGACGTCGGTTCCGGATGAGGAAGAAACTATTTTTACGTATTGTTGGCGATTTGGAAGGCCATTTTCCATATTTTCAATGGAATGGATGCAATGGGAAAAAAAGGTTTCTTTCCCATTAAAAAATGCACGGCTTCAATTCGTCAGCTAGCATATGGCATGGGCACAGATAAATGGGACGAGTCTTTTAGAATGTCAGAGCGTACCGTAAGGGACTCTGTGTACAAGTTCTGCAAAGCGATCTGTTTGGTTTACGGGCAACGATATTTGCGCAAACCAACTATCAACGATATCCACCAATTGTATACGGTGCATGAAGGCAAACATGGATTCCCTGGAATACTAGGTAGTATCGATTGCATGCATTGGAGTTGGTCATTATGCCCCAACGCATGGCGTGGTCAGTACATGAGAGGCGACCACAAAGAGCCAACGATCATTCTAGAGGCTATCGCATCACATCATCTTTAGATATGGCTTGCATTCTTTGGTCCAACTGGTGCAAACAATGACATCAACGTGCTAGACCAGTCGCCTGTATTCAACGATATCTACCTTGGAAAGTCACACGATGTACCTTTTCAAGCGAATGGGGTAGCATATAAGCGTGGATACTATCCTACTGACGGTATATATCCTCCCTTGTCTGTTTTTGTGAAATCGTTTACATGTCCTAACGACCTGAAAAGGAAAAAGTTTAAAGAGGCGCAAGAGTCAGCTAGGAAGGATGTGGAGAGAGCATTTGGTGTACTTAAGAGACGTTGGCAAGTACTAACGGTCGGAGCAAAGTCATATGAGGTGAAAAGGGTACAACACGTAAGGTATACATGTATCACATTGCATAATATGATTCTTGAAGACGAAGGAAGAGCGATATGCCGATACAACGAAAATGAAGTTTTGTCAAATGCCGAAGGAGTAGCCGTTGGTACACAAGAGTATAGGGTGACTAGAAGAGAAGTACACAATCGCGACCTTCATCAGGCCCTTCGTGCTGATTTGGTGGAGCACATTTATAGGGCTCATATTCAACCCCCGCACGAGTTATCTGACGATGATGATTTGTTTGACGAATCAGACGAGGATTCTGATATGTTCGTCGAGAGTGAAGATTCCGACAACGAGAGTGGCGCTGGGGAGAATGATGGAGATGATCAAGGCGAGGACGAAGACGATGATTCTGAGTGACGTATCTAGGTTTAAATAAAATTATGATATTAATTAATAATTTTTACTATGTTGTAGTTTGTTTATTTTTTTTCAGTTTTTTTTCTACTTATTTAAATATTAGGGTTAATGTAATTTTTATTTTACTTAATGAAATGCTTTTTATTTTTAATTAAATTTTATGTTTGATATTAATTTGAAAATTATAAATAAAAAAATTATTTAAAATTAAAAATTAAAAAAAAAATTAGGGAAGGACTTCCCTCCCACTCCTTGGCTTTTAGGTGAGGGAAAGCAGAGTGAGAGAAAGAAGGGTATGACCCACTAAAAGTAAAGGAACTTTCCCTCCCACTCCTTCCAATCTATGTAATTCTTGTTTTAGTAGATATTTTATTTTTTTATTGAGAATTATTACTTTGTGAAACACATTAAAATTATGTAATTTTATTATTGTAAAAGGGTCGGGTTAATGGATCGTGTATTCGTTGATTTGATGGATATATGTATGGATTTGATTATTCAAAACCCTAAGGGTTAATAGATCAGGACAGATCATGTTTTCAAAATTTTAAAAGTGTTTGGAGCAGTGATGATTCGTTCCAAATCAACCCAATTGGCATGTCTATGTATAAATTCTCTCTCAATAGATTTCTTTAACATAAATATGAAATAAGAAAGTGAATAAAAAACAAATTGATTGATAAAATACGTGAGCAATTCAAAATTAATCAGATCGAAAATAATATAAGTTAATATATTCATATAAATAGGATGTGTATCCGTTTGGGAAAAAAATTAACATAACAAAGTTATATGTTTCAACAATTATATTAAGCTTAAACGTTTTTAGCAAACAATGCAACATTGTTGTCTTATCATCAGTTTATGTATTCATGCTACAAACTTTATCAAAAAAGTAATTAATTGTTGCATACATAAATTGGTAAAAAAAAATCCCCTTTATTATATAAAATTATAAAATGATTAAAAAAATTAATAACAACTTAAAACATAGCTGTAGATATTAATATATTATATCCACTTTGTTATATAAAGTTAATAAAAAAACAAGCAAGTTCGTTACAAAATAAAATATTGACCCTTAAAATTATAGCATCTAGTAAACTAGTAGTTCAATGAGGGCTTTTATATTAGTAACCAAATATATATAATTTTTTAGTAGTGTATGGACGTATTCATATAGGTTATACAAACTTTTTCCTTGTAGATGTAACCCATATATTAAGAAATTGTTTTTTTGTTTTTCTTGAAACATTGTTTTTTATTGCACACAACGTTAAAAACCATGTCAAGTGTTATTTAGCTTTCAAGATTATTAATATAATATTTACAAGTCTTTTAATATGATAAAATAGAAAACCTTAAAAACCCGAAGTCATACAACATAGAATTTATTGTTTGAAAATTGAGTCTTTTTATTTAAAATAATATTATTTCTTATTTGAATGCGATTAATAGAAATAAATAAGAGAAAATTTGAGATATAACCAAAAAAGAGGGTTGGTTTAAAGAAAATAATCAAGAAAAAAAAGATTTTGGAAAATGACCAAAATATCCGCAGAACACCTTCTGTGGATCTCTCTACAGTTCTGCGGAATGTGGGTTTTTTAATTTTTTTAATTTTTTTTTCGTTTTTTCGTTTTTTTACGTTCATTTTTGTTTATTAATATCAATTTTTAATTTATTTAAAATTCACTAATAACTTATGTGATTATTATGTAAAAAATTTGACAAAAAATGTTAAAAGTAATAAAATGTCCAAAGGATCCGTAGAGCACCCTTTGCGAATCCATTAAAGGTTCTGTGGATCCTCTACAGCTCTGCGAAATCTTTGTTTTTTGACTTTTTTTAATTTTTTTTTTCTTTTTTTTTTTTGCGTTCATTTTCGTTTATTAATATTAATTTTTTTAAATACATTAATACCTTATACGATTATGTAAAAAATTTGACAAAAAAATGTTAAAAATAATGAACTTAGGATCCGTAGAGCACCCTCTGCAGATCCATTAAAGGTTCGGATTTTCTACAGCTCTGTGAAATCTTTGATCTTTGATTTTTGATTTTTTTGATTTTTTTTTTGTTTTTTTAATTTTATTTTTTGCGTTCATTTTCGTTTATTAATATTAATTTTTTTATATACATTAATACCTTCTGTGATTATGTAAAAAAATTGACAAAAAAATCAAAAAACAAAGATTTCGCAGAGCTGTAGAAGATCCGCGAAGTCTTTAATGGATATGCAGAGGGTGCTCTGGGGATCCTAAGCTCCTTTTTTTTAACCTTTTTTTTGTCAAATTTTTTACATAATCACGTAAAGTATTAGTATATTTAAAAAAAAATAATATTAACAAACGAAAATGAACGCAAAATAATAATAATAATAAAATAACAAAAAAAAATTAATCAAAAAACAAAGATTCCGCAGAGCCTTTAATGGATCCGTAGGGTGCTCTGCGGATCCTTTAGATATTTCATTATTTTTAACATTTTTTGTCAAATTTTTTACATAATAATGATATAAAATATTAGTGTATTTTAAAAAAAATTAAAAATTAATATTAATAAACGAAAAAAAAAATTAAAGAATTCACATTCCGCAGAGTTGTAAAGAGATCCACAGAGCTATAGAGAGATCCGCAGAGACCTTTGATCATTTTCCGAAATCCTTTTTGTTATATCCCGAATTTTCTCAATAAATAACTATCAGCTATTAATTTCATTCAAATCTTTATAAGCTTTTTAGTTTCCAATTTTGGTTGAGAAATTTATATCTGCTTAAATAATACTTTATATATCTGTTTTGAATAAAATAAATAAAAAGTAATAATGTTATCATATAATATTTTCGTGTAAGTGTAAATTGGTAAAATAGAAAGTGTGGAAGGGAGTATATATCTTGCGATGCCCATTCTTCTTCTTCCTCGTGTAAAAACTCCATTCTCGTTGTTAATGCATATACAGTAGCACCATTCTCCCATTCGTATATCCGTCATACTCGGAATAAGATTAGGAAACCCTAGAGAAATTCTTTTGTTTTTCTTGTAATTGTGTTAGATATAATGGAAGCGAAACCAAAGGTTAACGGCGGCGTAAAAGATGGAAAACAGAACCGCCGTATGCCGGCAATCCATGGTCCTACCAATCCAATGGTTACGCCACTCCTTACAGATCTTTATCAGTTCACCATGGCTTATGCTTATTGGAAAGCCGGCAAGCATAAAGACCGCGCCGTGTTAGTTTCTCAATTCCTGTTTTTCATTTTTTAGAATCCTGCTTAATTTCTATGTTTTTTGTATAATTCGGTGTATGTGGTGTGAAATTCTTTGTCTTCAGATGCATTTCATTAACTCAGATAATATAATTCGTCTCCGAAGCGTATTAGTCACGAGAAACGTAAAAATTATAGATAAATAGAATTGACTTAAGTTGTAATTCGTGATTCCCAATTGTCATATACCAAAACTGTGGATTGTTTTCAGCTGTCATTGGAACAAATTAGGAAATTTTAGCCGTTTGGATATGGAATCATGAAGTTCCCTAGATACCGGCGTTTTTAAGGCTGAATAAGTTCTGATTCCTGTATTTATATAAAGTTATAAGAGGTAAATCATGCACAAATGCTATTCTGGAATCAGGTATAAGATTTATCAAGAATGATAGCGTTTAAATCCTTAAGATTAAGGAGACAGAGTACAAAGTGTAATAAATCAGCGTTTGCTTGATGTATTCTGTGCATCCATTCCAAATTTGATATACTTTTTGTGGCTTAACTGTTTGAGATAATTATGAATTGGAAGCATCTTTGTTGTCTATTGGTTTTAGTAATTCTTCATATTAATACTAGTTTAATCAAAGCCTTTGAGAATTTACAACTATATTAAAATCCATTTAGATTGCTTATGATCATGATTTTGTTTCAGGTTTGACTTATATTTCAGAAGGAACCCATTTGGTGGTGAATATACAGTTTTTGCAGGTCTAGAAGAATGCATAAGATTCATTGCAAACTTTAAGTTATCAAAAGAAGACATTGCCTTTATTCGAGAATGTTTATCTCCTACATGTGAGGTAATAAGTGTAACTAACTTTAAACTCAACAAGATTCACAAGTAATGATTCTGTCAAATACAGTTGTGAAGGGTAAAATGGTCATTTGCTAACCTTTTGATGATGGGTGTAGGATGGCTTCTTTGAGTATCTTGGAGGAATCGATTGTTCTGATGTTGAAGTATATGCTATTGCTGAGGGATCTGTCGTATTCCCTAAAGTACCCTTGATGAGGATTGAAGGCCCTGTGGCTGTAAGTTTCGTTTTCCGACTTGAAGGGCATTTTTGGAAACATTTAGACAAAAAGATCGAATCTTTGAATTTTGAAAATGGTATTTGTATTGTTGCTATTTCAGGTTGTTCAACTTTTGGAAACTCCTTTTGTGAATCTTATAAATTTTGCTTCTTTAGTCACTACAAATGCTGCAAGACACCGTTTTGTTGCTGGAAAAAATAAACTTCTTCTTGAATTTGGGCTTCGTCGGGCCCAGGTTTTATACACTTTTTTTTTAAATTATTAACGGATTTCATGAGCTATAATTTATTTAAAAAAAAAAAAAAAAAAAAAAGAAAACTTTTGTTTGTTTCATGTGTAGGGCCCAGATGGTGGTGTAGGGGCATCAAGGTATTGCTACATGGGAGGATTTGATGCAACAAGGTGATCTGTTTCTTTTTTTACTTAATGAGCTTAATGGATTAAGCATTTAATTTGGACAAAATGACTTAATGAATTAAAATGGTCATTTACTTGTTATTTTTTGTGTGAATAGCAATTGTGCAGCTGGAAAGTTATTTGGAATACCACTCCGTGGGACCCATTCTCATGCTTTTGTCAGCTCCTTTACGGTTGGTGTCATATATAATATAAACTTTTGATTTTTTATTTTTAATATTTTTTTGTGACTTATTATAATAAATAATCGATTTGTTGATATTTAGGGACCTGATGAGATTACAGAAAAGTCTCTGAAAAGTCAAGATGGGTCAAAAGTATGCAAAGATTTTGTGAGTCTCACACAGACATGGTTAAGCAAATTAAAGGTATAGTTATTATAATAATTACATTTATATTCCCATAATTTATCGTTTGTAAAATTTTTTAAAAAATTATATATAAACAGAGATTAAGTTCATCAGAGGGCGTTTTTGGCGAAACCAATCAAAGTGAGCTGGCAGCTTTCATTTCATACGCCCTTGCATTTCCCAAAAACTTTCTTGCTCTTGTGGACACATATGATGTAAGTCAAAAAAAATTAAAAAATAAAAATTCAATAACTTCTTTTTCTCATTTAATATTTAAATATATTTAGGTGATGAGGAGTGGTGTCCCTAATTTTTGTGCTGTAGCTCTAGCACTAAATGATATGGGGTATGTTTTCTTTTTAACATTTTAATTTTCTATATAAATTTATTTTTAATTTAAATTGTTTGCAGATATAGAGCAAAGGGAATTAGATTAGACTCTGGTGACCTTGCTTACCTTTCATGTGAAACAAGAAAGTTTTTTCAAACCATTGAAAAGGAATTTCAGATTCCTGATTTTGGAAACACTGGAATCACTGCTAGCAATGATCTTAATGAGGAAACATTAGATGCTCTTAACAAACAGGTGAGACTTTTTTTATAAAATTCTTGACTAGTGAAATTCTTGTTATTAATTATTTTTATAAAAAAAAAAAATGGTTGATTAGGGGCATGAGGTGGATTCATTTGGGATTGGAACAAATTTGGTGACATGTTTTGCTCAGCCTGCTTTAGGCTGTGTGTTTAAGCTTGTTGAGATTAATAACCAGCCCCGTATAAAATTATCAGAAGATGTCTCAAAGGTTTGGAATTGGTATATTTTATAAAATTTGTTAAAAAAGAATATGGTGACTTTTTATTTTTTTGTTTTTAGGTATCGATTCCATGTAAAAAGAGGTCTTATAGATTGTATGGAAAGGAAGGTTATGCACTTGTAGATATCATGTCAGGGGAAAATGAACCACCTCCAAAGGTATGTACTATGTAGAGAAAATGACAAAAATACCCATATGATTTGTTGAAAAATAAAATAATAAATACACAGGCAGGGCAAAGGATTTTATGTAGACATCCGTTTAATGAGTCAAAGAGAGCTTATGTGGTACCACAACTCGTTGAGGATCTTATCAAGTGTTATTGGCCTGGAAGTGCAGGTGTGAGAATATATATATATTTTTTTTTAATGATTGTGGTACATGAAAATAAATAAATAAATAATATTTATATAATAAATATGTGAAGAGAAAGAGAGAGAAGAATTGCCAACGCTTGTGGAGATTAGAGATCATTGTATGAAGCAATTGGAGCAAATGAGGACAGATCACATGAGAAGATTGAATCCAACCCCCTACAAGGTATTTATTAAAACAAAAAATAAAATATATTATCTATCTCTTATCCCATATCTATTTCTATTCTATCTTTATTCATTAACTCACACAAATTAACGTATAAACCTTTTAATTCCTTGATACTTTTTTTATTTTTTATGGCTGAATGAAATTACTAGGTTAGTGTAAGCACAAAGCTGTATGAGTTCATTCATTTCTTATGGCTGAATGAAGCGCCTGTTGGGGAGTTACAGTAAGAGGAAGAGGATGGATGGAGATGCACATGCTACAACGCAAATAGTAAAATACATACTCATTCAAGATGTCTTTACTCAAAAACATAATGAAGTTTTTTTTTTTTTTTTTTTTTTGGTTTGTTATATATTTTGACATGCTTATATCATATTACATTAATAAATGTTTGTATCCGTTATGTTGATTGTAATTGTATGTGGCAACATTAATAAATGTTTGTATCCGTTATGTTGATTGTAATTGTATGTGGCAATTTTTTTGTATGATGCGTATCTATATTCTGACTTGGCACTAGATTGATTTTTACGAAATAAGCAAGCTTTCAGTTGATGTAACGTTCCATCATGATTAAGATTAATTGAGAAAATATAACCATTGATGTGATATTTGGTACATCGTTGGGTGTTTGTTTTGTTGGTGATGCAACAAGTGATGATAGATTGGATAACATATGGGATAGCAGTTACTTAGTTGAAAAGAAAAACTATTATACTAAAAACTTAAGGTTTCACCACATTCCGTACAGTCATTAAAATGGTATTGTCATCAAGCTTCCACTCCCAAGTTATGCGGTTTTGAGACTCGTTTGTAGAGGTGGTAAATGTATTGTGTCTTATCATGTTTGTGTCTGGATGATCTTTAATGAGTTAAGATAGTTTGATCTTAACCTTCCATTTAATTATTGTGTCGGGTTAATGGTTTAGAATTTAGAGCTTATAAATCTGACTATCGTGTTAGATTGAAACATTAAATTGGTTGAAAGAATGGGAGTTAAAGAGGTGGAAAAGAAAATGTGAAAAACATGGAGTAGTAATTGGAAGGCGAAGAAGTGAAAATTTGAAAAACAAAAAGTAAGCATCGATTGAGTGGCTAATTAATGGCTTATAGATTACAAAACAATTCAACATAAGGTTTACTTTTACATTTGATTTTGGTTTTGTACATGTCACTTAAAAGATTAAAAGAAGTTGCATATAAATGAACAAGTAATTTTCTTGTCATTTTCATGTTGAAAGTTTAGATCCCACCTTAGCCGTTTAATTTTGATGTCGTATTGTGTCAACTCGTTTAATTAAAAAGATTGAAATCTACAACTCAAATTCAAATTCGTTTATTTGCAGTTTATTTGCAATTCACGTTTTGTTTTATCCAAATTACTTGACTTCTCATTTAGTTTTAGTTGGCCATTAGAACTAGATGAACTCTAGTTTTTTTTTGTTCATTTTAATTGTTTTAAAGAATGACAACTAATAACAAACAACAAAATGGTTATGTGAAAGGATTTATTGTCATTGTTGATTGTTTACATGGATTGTACACTTTTACTCCGTAGGTTTATAAAAGGAGCAAAGTGTTGGAAGCATTTACATAAGAAAAATTAAATGTCCTATATTTTCTTCCTACTATCTTCCAATCCACATTAAATTGTAACAAATGGATTAAAATATTATCAATTTTAAAACCTAATTTAGATTAAGTTGGTAAAGTTGTGTCAAATTAAAGAAATTATTTTAATTAGGCATTTATGGTAAATGAAGAGTATTAGATCTTGTAAACTACTACTTGAAATAAACATGGATTTAGGATTAACTCACATGATAAAAGAATAGAACTTACTAGCACATTAAATCTTCCTTTTTAAAGTAAACTATAAACTAGAGTAGACATAACACCAATAAATACAAAATTGATCATGTCCATTATAACTAACAACTATTTCTGCATAAAATAACTAGGTACCACACATACATACATCATTGACTTACCAATCCCAATACTTGTTAACATCTTCATCCATCTTTCATCACAAAGCCACACAACTCTGTTAGCTTAGCTTCTTCACCATGATTTGAAAGCCAATTTGTATTTCTTTAAACGGGATATAAATTTAATCAACTCTAATCCCTTAATTTACTAAATTGAGGCGAAAAGATCATTAAGTTTGACCCAACCATAATCACACCTGTCCCTAACCTTCTGTGCTGTGGAAAAAGCTAATCCAACCAAACCTCTTATCCTACCAACCTCTTTCTCAACTGCAGCCCTCAACTTAGCATCAACCTGAAATACATTAACTAATTACAAAACAATTCATATCAATATCTGAATTTTTTAACTAACGACAAAAATAACCTTGTCAATGCAGCGATCCGCATCCAGGAGATAACAGAAGTAAGAGAGTTGTTTGTACACATCAGCCTCCGAATACTAATCAAAAATAAAGTTTCAGTAATTGTTGTTGACTGAAGGGTAATGACAAAAATATTGTTTTTTGACTTTTGACTTTTGAGAGTTGAAGAGATGAAAACCAACCAACCTGTCTCACAAGACGACCATTACAGCGAGGGTAATTTGGGCATACTGTTCCTCTTTCTGACTCACCAACAACACGCAAGTTTAAACTCCGTGTTGTATAGTTGCATGTTTCATCATCACACTGCAATTTTACATCGAATTTCAGTAATTAAAAAAAATTCAAAAATGAAAATCATAATAGCATTGTTTGCATACCGTCATAATTCCTTTGTAGTATGTGGATATGAACAATTCAGCTCGTCTTTTTACCTGATTCCATTCCACCAACAATTTACTCACTTTCTTTCTTTCCATTTGAAGCAAAAACAAACTAAATTTAGTTGAAAATAAAAACCTGATTGGATAATGATGCTGGAGGGAATTCCACTTGACATTTAGGGCAACAGAATTTCTGCCAAAAGGTAGTGGTGGTGGTGGTTGATTGATCTTGCAAGTCTTGTGGCTTTTCAAGGGCTACTGTTTGTATGTAACTCAGTACAGATGGACACTTAAAACTAACACAGCAATCAGGACATGATAAGTTTAAAGCCTCACACCCCCTGTATCTGCAATAATCAAACATCACAAAACTTTTTTAAAATGTATTTATATATATATATATATATATATATATATATATATCTATCAAGTATATGAAATAAAACCCAAACGGGTGAAAATTTCAGAAGAGAATTAATAACTACCTCTCTTCATCATCTGTAATGCAAATAACAGAGCCAGAATGATCATTGTTTGCAACTTCACTTGATTTGCTTTGAAACTGAAAACAAAATCATTATTAATTTTATTAGTTAACTCATCAATGTTATAAAATATGTTTGGAAATGATAGGTTATAGAATGTTAGAATATAGATAGATACCTTGGAAGGATCAAGCCCTAAACAATCAGCTAAAGTAGCTGGGCTTGTACCCTCGATTGATGCACATAGACGCGATACTACTGGATGAATCTGAATGTACCCAAAATAAATGATTTAAGTATTTAGATAATATAATTTTTTTTAAGTAGAAATAAATAAAAAATAGTACCTGTTGTGCTAGATAATAGTCGATGTCAATCATCAAATTCTCATTATCCTTTGTGAGTTCATCAGGATGTCTTGCACGTTGAGCAATCCCTACTGATGTACTTAAACCGTTCCCCTGTGAAATTTATTTAAAAAAATAATGCAAATCAGAGATGAATAAATGTGAAAAAGTAAAATTAGAAATGAAAATAAAAGGTTAATCACAAACCTTCTCACAGCAAATTATATAAGGAACTGTATCTCCAGCAGAACAACCACTGGTGTAACCTAGTTTCTTCAGCCTGAGTGCTACCTATAAGTAGATATGTTTTTGTATTAATAAAAATTATAAAAAAGAATAAAAAAAAAAAAATAGTCAGAATATTTACTTCAACATGAGGTTGACTTTTGGCATCCGGGTAGGCTTCAGGTGGTCTAGTCAACGTTTTTGTAATGATATATTTCTCCAAACCTATTTCTCCCTTCCTCATATCCTCTTGTACTTTTCTGAGTTTGTTGTGTATTGCTTCAACAACTTCTTCACATGACCTGTCATTATAATTTATAATAAAATTAAAATTACAATCTCAGAAAGTAATGATGATGATCATTAAGAGAAAAAGACATACAGCTCAGATAATATTTGTTCAAGACAGAAATCTCCAGTCTCCTTTGATAACAAACTCCAGTCACGTCTGACCATATCCAGACCTTTCCTCTCTATAACTTTATAAATTTTCCCATCTCTTATTTGCTCTTTCACAGCTGCATATTTCTTCTTTTTAAGCAACAGCATTCTCTTGTATACACCATCAAGATCAATTTCTAATCTCTTGTATCTCTTGTTCACCTACCATTAAATCAAAATTAAAACCAACTTTTCACTTTTATAATCTCAAAACTATTTTTACAAAACTGTAAAAAAACTACCTCTTTGATGATATTTCCTGCGATTGATTTGGCTTTATTCATATCATCAAGTCCAGTGTATATCATGATTGAATCAGTGTCACCATAAATCACATCAAAGTTTAGATTGTTGCGAACAAGATCAACAGTGCTTTGTAAAATCTCTCTCCCCTGTAAGTAAATAAATAAGTTGTAATACTTTTCCATATATATAGATATTTTTTTTATTAGAATCTTTCTTACTTGAAGTGTGATAAGTTCTGCAAGTGGCTTTGCATAGAATCTTGAACTGGAAAAACCAAGGCATCCATACATACTGTTGGCTGTTAGTTTCAATGCTTGTTGTTGTATATCAAATTGTTGATACTTGAGGCCTGATGCTGTCTTTAATAATCTTTTTACATGTTTCCTTCTTTCAACCAGATTTTTCAGTAACTACAAAAGGAAAGTAACACCATATGAAAGACTTATACAGACATTAAACCGGTGTAATCAATTTAACTATGGTTAAAATCTAACCTCAGGTAAAACTCCAGTTGCTGTTGCAGATGGTAATCGAGGGACTAAACCATCTTCAGATCTCTCTACTGTTGTAAAGCAGATATTGTACTCCTGATTAAAGAAAATAATAAACACAGAAAAAAGATTAGAGACAAGGGTAGAAAGTGTTGAAATTTAAAAAGTATGGTGGAGAGATGACAAACCTGGATAATGGAAGGGTAGAGACTGTTGAAATCCAGAAGTAAAATGTATTTATCATATAAACCTTTTTTAGGTTCCAACACTAGTCCACCTGCATATGAAGCTGCTTTTTTGGATTTTACAGGCTCATTTCCTGGAGGGGCGATTTCGTCATTTTCACCAAAATCATTGTTTACTTTGTT